CAATCTGTTACTTGGGAGTAGTTTCCATTCAAAGTTTAAAGGATATGTCAGAGCCATAGTCTTGGAGGTTCCTGTAGTCTCTGCTGGTCCAGTAAGTCTGGCTTTTTTAAATTTTAATTTTTTATAAGAATCAAAGTTATGTTCTACAGTTTTATCCCATTCTATCCAGGACCATCTATTGTGTCCCTGGTCAGAATGGTAGGTATGGGTAGCTGGGTACCATCTAGTTCTTCTGGTCTCTGGATAGATGAGGCTGTGGTTCATGTAGACAATTAGTCCTGTAGACTATATTCTTCTCTGGGTCTTTGTTTTCCTTCTTTCTCTTTTGCTACAGATGAGTAGAGACCAATAGTTGTATCTTAGATGGCTCTTCACAAGCTTTTAAGATCTCAGACACTACTTACCATACTAGGATGTAGAATATAAACTTTATAAAACATGTTGTGCCAATTGACTGAGTTGTCCCACAAGACTATGATCCTAAGCCCTCAAACCCAGTAAACTAATCCTGTGAGGTGTCTGGTTATGTCCGGGAGGTAACTGCGACTGTGTTCCCTTTGTGCTTTATTATGTATATGAATATTTGTGCAGCACACACAAACATGTATATATCTATGCCTACAGATACACCTATATGCACACTTATATACACACATACACATTTCTATACACATATATGCGTATATATCTCCCTATTTAACCACTCGCATATTTTTGGGTTGTTACTGCTGTTGTTGCTTAATTACGTATGTTATAGCATTTACCAATAAGGTCCCCTAATCTTGTGTATTTCTTATTGTCATCATTTACCTTGGTTAAGTTGTGCACACTTCACCCATGTTTGGTATTGCCTTTTCTATCACCAAAAGTACCAAGTATCTACTGTCTAGAGAGTGATGCCGCCTCCCTTACCTTCCCATACGTGGTAACCACCAAAGAAATTGATTTCTGTATGTATACCTATTTTTGTTTTTTTTATAGAAGAGGTATCGTACAATATTTGTCCTTTTGTGCCTGACTTACTTCACTCAGCATAATGTCCTCCAGATTCATCCATGTTATAAGATATTTCGTGGACTCATCATTATTCTTTACAATTGTGTAGTATTCCATTGTATGTATATACCATATTTTGTTTATCCATTCATCTGTTGATGGCCACTTAGCTTGTTTCCGTCTTCTTACTATTGCGAATAATGCTGCACTGAACAGAGATGTGCATATGTCTATTAGTGTCATTGTTATTAGATCTCTAGGGTACACACCTAGGAGTAGGATTGCTGGATCACAAGGTATTTCTATTTCTAGCTTTTTAAGGACACCATACCACTTTCCATGGTGGTTGTACCAACTTACAGTTCCACCAGCAGTGGATAAGCGTTACAATCTCCCCACATCCTCATCAGAATTTGTTGTTTTCTGTTTTTTTTGGTCAGTGCCATTTCTGTAGAGATGAGATGGTATCTACTCGTAGTTTTGATTTGCATCTTTCTAATGGTTAATCCATTTTTTCATGTGTTTGTTGGTAACTTGAATGTCCTCTTTGCTGGTGTCTGTTCATGTACTTTGTCCATTTTTAAATTTGTTTAACTTTTCGATATTGAGTTGTTGAAGTTTTCTATGTATTTTAGAGATTAGGTCCTTATCAGATATATCATTCCCAAAGATTTTTTCCCAATCTGTAGGTTCTTTTTTTACTCTTTTGATAAAGTCTTTTGATGAGTGTAAATATTTGATTTTTAGGAGGTCCCAGTTATCTAATTTATCTTCTGTTGCTTGTGCATTTGAAGTTGTGTTTGGTATTCTATTACTGAAAAAAATTAGGTCCCATAGTTTTGTCCCTATATTATATTCCAGGAACTTTGTAGTTTTAGCTTTAACTTAGGTCTTTGATCCATTTTGAGTGAGTTTTTGGTTATAGTGTTAGATATAGATTCTGTTTCATTTTTCTGCAAATGTATATCCAGTTTTGCCAGAACCATTTGTTAAAGAGACTGTTTCTTCCCTGTTGAGTGGACTTAGACCCCTTTTGAAATATCAGGTAGCCATAGATGGATGGATTTCCTTCTGGATACTCAGTTCTATTCCATTGGTCTATGTGTCTGTCATTGAACCAGTACCAGAATGCTTTGATTACTGTGGCTGTATAGTACGTTTTGAGATCAGGAAGTGTGAGGTCTCCCACTTTGTTCTCCTTCAATATTGCTTTGGCTGTTCATGGCCCCTTTCCTTTCTGTATAAAATTGGTAATATGTTTTAACATTTCAGTAAAGAAGTTGTTGGAATTTGGATTGATACTGCATTATATCTATAGATCAGTTTGGGTAGTATTGACATTTTCACAATGTTGAGTCTTCCAATCCATGAGCATGAAATGTTCATCCATTTATGTATATCTCTTTTAGTTTCTTGCAGTAGTGTTTTATAGTTTTCATTGCATAGGTCTTTTACATCCCTGATTAGGTTTATTCCTAGGTATTTTAACCCTTTGGAAGCTATTGTAAATGGTATTGTTTTCTTGATTTCCTTTTCAGAGTTCTCCTTGTTAGTGTGAAGGAACCCATCTGATATTTGTGTGTTGATCTTGTATCCTGCTATTTTGATAAATTGTTCTATTAGATACAGTAACTTTCCTGTGGAATTTATGGGATTTTCTATGTATAGGATCATGTCGTCTGTGACTAGTGATAGTTTTACTTCTTCCTTTCCAATTTGGATACCTTTTATTTCCGTTTTTTGCCTTAATGATCTGGCTAGAACTTCCAGTACAATATTGAATAGGAGTGGTGAGAGTGGGCATCCTTGTCTCCTTCCCATTCTCAGTCTTTCTCCATTGAGAATAATGCTGGCTGTTGGTTTTGCATGTATGCCCTTAATTATGTTAAAAAATTTCCCTTCTATTCCTATTTAGCTGAGAGTTTTTATTAGGAAAGGGTGTTGGATTTTATCAAATGTTTTTCTGCATCAATTGAGATGATCATTGTGATTCTTTTTCCTTTGTTTTATTTATGTGCTGAATTACATTAATTGATTTTCTGATGTTGAACCACCTTTCCTGATATGAATCCCACATGACAATGATGTATGATATTTTTGATATGCTGTTGAATTCAGTTGGCTAGAATTTTTTGAGAACTTTTGCATCTATATTCATGAGGGATATTGGTCAATAACTTTCTTTTTTTTTGTGTGTGTGTGATTTCTTTACCTGGCTTTGGTATCAGGGTGATGCTGGTTTAGTAGAATGAGTTTTAGCAGAGTTTGAGCAGAATTGGTGTTAACTCTTCTCTGAATGTTCGGTAAAATTTCCTGGTGAAGCCATCTGGGTGGGGCTTTTTTTGTTGTTGGAAGTATTTTGATGACATCTTCAATCTCTTCTTTGTTACGGGTCTTTAAATTTTCTACCTCTGTTTGTGTTAGTTTAGGTAGGTAGTGTGTTTTTAGAAATTTTTTCATTTCTTGTAGGCTTTCAAATTTGTTGGAGTACAATTTTTCATAGTATTCAGTTATGATCTTCTTTATGTCAGTTGGATCTGTGGTAATGTCTTCCATTTAGTTCCTTATTTTGGTTACTTACATCTTTTTGTTTTTTTCCTTTGTCATTTTGGCCAGTGGTTTGTCTATTTTATTGATCCCTTTAAAGAATCAACTTCTAGTTTTGTTGATTTTTTTTATTGTTTTTCTTTTCTATTTCATTTATTTCTGTTCTGATCTTTATTATTTGTTTTCTTCTTGTAGCCTTGGTTTTCTTTTGCTCTTCCTTTCTATTTGTTAGGGTTGTTAAGTTATTGACTTTGGGCCTTTCTTCTTTTTTAATGTATGTATTTATTGCTATAATTTCCCTCTGAGCACTGCTTTTTCTGTGTCCCATAGGTTTTGGTATGTTGTGTTTTCATTCTTATTTGATTCTAAGTATTTTTTAATTTCATTTTTGATTTTTTTCTATGACCCAGTAATTTTTTAATAATGTGTCATTTACTTTTCATGTGTTTAATTTGTTTTCATTGCCCTTCCTGTTATTAATTTCTAGTTTCATACCATTATGGTCAGAGAAGACGCTTTGTATAATTTCAATCTGTTTAAATTTATTGAGGTTTGCTTTGTGGCCTAAGATACGGTCTACTCTGGAGAATGTTCCATGTGTGTTGGAGAAGAATGTGTATTGTGCTTCCGTGGATGGTGTGTTCTATATGTCTATGAGGTCCAGACGGTTGATTGGGTTATTTAGGTCTTCTGTATCTTTGTTGATTTTCTTTCTAGTTGTCCTCTCCATTGTCGAAAGAAGTGTGTTAAAGTCTCCTGCTATTGTTGTGGGTCTGTCTATTTCTGTCTTCAGTTCTATTAGGGTTTGTTTTATAAATTTTGGAGCTCTGGCATTGAGTACATTCATATTTACAATTGTTATGTCTTCTTGGTGAATTGACCCTTTAATCATTATATAGTGTCCTTCTTTGTCTCTTATACTTTTGACTTAAAGTCTGTTTTTTCAGATATTAATATTGCCACTTCTGCTCTCTTTTGATTACTGTTTGCTTGTTATATTTTTTCCATCCTTTGATTTTTAGCCTGTTTATGTCTTTGTGTCTGAGGTGTATCTCTTGTAAACAGCATATTGATGGGTCATTTTTTTTTTTTTAATCCATTCTGCCACTTTCTTCCTCTTGATTAGTACATTTAATTCATTTACATTCAGTGTGATTATTGATAGGTATGGCTTTACTGCTGCAGTTTTGTTACACTTTTTTGTGATGTTAATGTTTTCTTTGTTCTCCTTTACTTTCTCTGTTGAGTTCTTTTTGTATATGGATTTTCTTTTCCTTTCACTTGTTGCTGGTGTTTTTGCATTTACTGAGTCTTTTTGTTTTTTTCTTCTTTGTTTAGGTGAGTAGATTTATTACTTTTCTTTGTGGTTACCCTGAAGTTTACATTTATCATCCTAAATTTAAAACTGTTATCTTGAGATTGCCTTGTCTTCCTCTTCATATGAAAGCTCTATAACTAAACAACTAAGGTTATATATCAAAAAGTAGATGTCAATGACTTAGCTGTATGTGTGTTCTAAGGTCCAAGGGCCTCTTCCATCCTTGTCAAAGAGTGCTTATCCCTTCTTATTTTATACAATACCATAGACACGGTTTAATTTTAAGATTAGAGATAAACTCTGGGTATACTATGAATTAAATGAAACTTTGTGAGCTAAATTGGGACTCCATTTTCTTTTAATATCCAGTTATTGTGAGACAGTATATTCCAAGTTATAAACAATAAGATTATTAATAAAATTTTGGACTACAGCTTATATATGGTATACAGTATATATTATTAAATATTCAAGTGAGGGGTAACTTTATAGGATTTATATACAATTTTAGAAAAGAGAGACAGTAGGGCCTGGAGAAGCTGGGGAAGGTTTCATGGAAGAGGTCAAGACCCTCGAGAATGAGGAAAAGATGCATAAATAGATTTTGAGAAAGTTAATGAGTTGGGCTTTGGATATACTTTTGTGATGCTGTTGGTGTCTAGTAGAAAGAGTTGGGTAAATGGGACTGAGGCTGGGGAGAGATTTGGGTTGAAGATTCACTTCTGGAAGTTATGAGAATTAATGGGATTGAAGAGATTAACCACAGAGAGTTTGTAGAGGGCAAAGGCAAACTGGCCTTGAAGGAAACACCAACATTTAAAATACAAAGGAAATCAAAAAGGAATGATCAAAGAGGAGGGAGGATGATTTCATGAAAGCAAAGAGTGAAGAGAATTTCTAGAAAGGAAGCAGTGGGGCCAATGTCATATTGCGGAGGATGTAAAGCTAGATGGTAGATACAACAAAGAGTTCATTGGATATGGTGGTGTAGAGACCGCACTGAGCACAGGCAATGAAGGCCAACAGTTTGAGGGAGTGGATCATGGTGGACTGTGTGTGCTATGGTTCAGAGCAGAGCTTGACTATGACATCGCAGAGAGAATGTGGCAGGCAAGGTAAAGGGAAGTCCAAGAAAAGGTGTATTTGTGTGCTAGAAAATGTGGGGGGGAGGTCTGTAGGGCTAGGGTTGGGGCCAGGTGGCAGAGAGAACTGGGAGGTAAGGGTGTGAGAAATGAGAATACAGGAGATAGAAGCGACAAGCAGTGGGGCAAGATCCTGGAGCCATAGTGTTATGGTTTGAATTATGTCCTCCCAAAAATGTCTGTATCAGTTTGGCTGGGCCATGATTCCCAGAAATGTGTTGGCCTCCATTTTGTGATTGCAATTTTGTGTTAAAGAGGATTAGGGTGGGATTGTAACACCACCCTTAGCCAGGTCACATCCCTAATCCAATGTAAAGGGAGTTTCCCTAGGGTGTGGCCTGCACCACCTTTTACCTTACAAGAGATAAAAGGAAAGGGAAGCAAGCAGAGAATCAGGGACTTCATACCACCAAGAAAGCAGCACCAGGAGCAGAGCACATCCTTTGGACCCGAGGTTCCTGCGCAGAGAAGCTCCTAGTCCGGGGGAAGACTGATGATGACAAGGACCTTTCTCCAGAGCCGAAAGAGAGAGAAAGGCCTCCCCTGGAGCTGACGCCCTGAATTTGGACTTCTGGCCTACTAGACTGTGAGAAAATAAATTTCTCTTGGTGAAAGCCATCCACTTGTGGTATTTCTGTTAGAGCAGTACTAGATGACTAAGAGGCATAGTAAGGTGGGGAAGTAGGGGTATCTGAATCAAGAGGACAGTGGAGGAATTAATCATGAGCAAAGTAAGAAGCACTCTTCGCTTAAAAATAATGTGGGATATGGGGGCTGTCCATAGGGAAAGAATAATGGGGAACAGGCAGTGCCCTCATGAGGTCAGGGGGGTGATCACCGTACAATGGGACCAGTGCAACAGGAGACAAGGTGGGTGGAAGCCTAGGGAAGAAGTATCAGTGATGGTGGCAATATTGAATTGAGGACTGGAAGGGAAATTCAGCTGGCACACAAGGGGCAAAGGTGGTCTAGGCAGAAGGTACAAACTGTGCCCTGACAGAGAGCGCTTCAAGAGTGGCAGAGACTGTTTGGAAAGAGTAGAATCCTCCACTGACAGAGACGGGGAGAAGCATGCAGGGAGTGAGGAGGAGGGGGGCACACTCACTGACAGAATCTCTGGGTTTGACCCCAAACCCTTGACACCCACCACTATGGGCAATCCTCTAAACTCAGCAGTTTACAAAGACTGGTGCTCATCATGGACATAAGAGAAGTCTGGGGTTGGCAGCACAGGACTGTGAAGGGGGCTTGAGGAAGTTGACAGGGTCCAAGACTCCTATCTTTTGCTATGCATTGCTTTACTTGCTTGGCCACCTCATGGTCCAAGATAGCTTCTGGAGCTCTGGCCATTTCATCTGCATTTTAGATAACAGGAATGAGAAAGAGAGGAACAAGGTGAGCCCCTTTCCTTTTAAGGAGACTTCCTAGAAGTACACTCCAACACTTCTGCTTCCATCCCGTTATCCACAAGTTTATCATGAGGCCACACTGGTTGCAAGTAAGGCTGGGAAATGAATCATTGTCCAGAATAAAGTTAGAGTTCTATTACTAAGGAGAAGTGTTGGGCAATAGATTTGGGTTAGGCTACCAGCAGACTTTGCCGTATTTTCGTATCAAACTCAAAAGTAGGTACTTCTGGTGGCTGTTTTGCTGATGAGGAGTTGGACTGCTGATCAGGGCTGAGGGGGAGCTCAGGTTCAGGTTACTCACTTCCATACTCATGCCTGTGAACCCTGACACACACCCCAACACACACACACTCACACCAAGCCACCTCACTCCGGGGAGGTGTCATTCTGGAGCCCTGTGACCCAGTCGCTGCTGCTCATGGGGTGGGCAGGCTGGGAGCATGGACAGCTGAGCTCCATTCAACTAGGGAATTTCCAATCATTCTTCAAGCCCAGCCTGCATGGTGTCTTGAGCAAGCCCCAGTCTGTCTTTGTCAAATACAGGGTTTGATCAAAATAACTGTTTTTCAGATGATTCCTTCAGAGACTTAAGTTCCCTTGAAGATTCCTCAGAGGCCTTCAATAAAATGCTGTTGTGAGATTCCCTCCACTCTTGCAGCACAGTTCTGATTCTATGGAGCTCAAGCATTTGGGTTTACTGGGAAAAGATTCTTCCAATACAAGTCATCATAGTTTTCTAGTGCTACTGTAATAGAAATACCATAAGTGGGAGGCTTTAAAGAACAGAAACTTATTTTCTTACAGTTCTGGAGGCTAAAAAGTCCAAATCAGGGTCTCAGCTGTGCCATTTCCTTCCTCGTTGGGAGCCTTGGGCATAGTTGGTTCCTTGGCTTATAGACAATCCTCACATGGCGTCTGTCTTCCTGTATGTGTGTGCACCGTTGTGTCTAAGCTGCTCTTTTTATAACTCAGATGTGATTAGATTTAGAAACTGCCCGACTCAGGTATGATCTAATTAGCATAACAAAGAAAACCCTATTTCCAAGCAGCATCACATCCACAGGTATAGGGGTTAGAGTTCCAGTACATATTTTTGGGAACAAAATTGAATACATAACACAGATTGATTGAGAATCAACTGTAGCAGGAGAAAGAACTGATGTGTTTAAGATGTCAAATACTCTGTTTTTACAGGGAAACCAGGGCCCAGAAACTTCAAGTGATCTGCTTACGGCCACAGAATGTGTGGCGGAGCGAGGGCTTGGTCTGAATCTTTGTTGGCATTTTGGGACCAGCATTTGACCTTGTCTGTGACAAATGTGTCTCCCTGCCTGGTAGGGTTACTATGTAAGCCCCCTGCTCCCCACCTTGTGTGATGGTAGTCTTCATCCTTACAAACAAGGCTGGGCCTTCTACCTCTGTGTGTTCTCCCTGTAGACCCCAGCACAGAGCCTGGCAGGGAGGAAATGCCAAAGTGAGACTGACTGATCAAAAGAGTGGGCTTGATGGGACAGAGCAAACATGATGCTGTAGACAGATGCAGCATGCCAACCCTCTGCAGCAAAGACCCAAAAAAACTAAGTAGAACAGATAGTCAAATCTGCAACTCTAAGTACCAAATGAAAGGATAAAGAACTAGATCAAGCACTGAATGGAAGAAGAAACTGACGGAAAACAGAAAACGAGGAAAGATATGGAGTGGTGGTCCCTTGCCAACCAACATGGCACAGTGTTGCCATCTTGAAACACAGCCAGCAAGAACCTTGGGCAAGGAGTAGGGGAAGGCAACATCACAGAGCTCCCAACAGGAGACTGAACACCCAGTAACCACAGAAACATGCCTCCCACACGCCAGCCTTCTCTCCCATACACCACCTCCACCCCTTTCCTTGGGGCACTCTGTAACACCTTGGCTAGAGTGCCACTGGCCCACCTCTGCCCTGAGTCTGCCATGCCCCCACCCACCAGCTCCCATAGTGTCAGTTTTTTCCTTTGCTTTCTTCCTTTTCTTTCTCCCTTCCTCCTAGCCCAGTATGCCATCCCTACACCAACCCACCAGCTCCGACTACACCATTTTTCCCCCTTTCTTCCTTTTCTTTTTCTCTCCTCGCATGCCACCTGCCCCCTTCCCACTCGACCTCGCCATGCAACCGTGACTAGAAAGCCACTGGCACACGGCCCACCACTGCCCCAGGTCTGCAGTGCCCCCACTCTAGGCCCACACCACGCCACCAGTTTTTTTCTTTTCTTTTTCTCTCCCACCTAGCCCAGCGTGTCACCTCCTCTGTCTTCCCACTGACCTCTCTTCCACTGTCTTTATCTTTGATAAAGATAAGGATGCCCTTTGTCACCACTCCTATTTTAACATTGTGCTGTATTCCCAGCTAGAGTAATAAAGCAAGAAAAAGAAATAAAAAGTATCCCTATTCGCAGATGATATGATCCTATACATAGAGAACCCCAAAGATTCCACAAGAAAACTACTGGCGCTAACAGAAAGATTCAGCAGAGTAGCAAGATCAACATACAAAAATCAGTTGGAGTCCTAAACGTCAACAATGAGGACTTCGAAAAGGAAATCAGGAAAACAATATCATTTATAGTAGCCCCTAAAAACATAAGATACTTAGGAATAAATCTAACCAGGGATGTAAAAGACCTATACCAAGAAAATTACAACACACTAGTGCAAGAAACCAAGAGACCTACATA